ACCTAGGCCGGGATGCTTGTAGCCCCACCCCGCTCAATGACGCCGGACATGTTCAATAAAGTTTTTACTCACTCACTGTAGTACAGCAGTGCTGCCCTCCTTCATTACAGTGGAATAGTGCTGCCAACATCTGTGCAATAATCTTGGGCTCATCGCTAACTATAACAAGGGCTCTCCAACCTTCCTGCTTCGGGTAATGCCACCTCATTAAGGGGGCAGACTGCTCTTTGGGGCCAAAAAGTGACAAAAAAATTCATTTTTTAAAATTGACGTATTTGGTTTCTGCAAGTACTTTTTTATCTCTCTGCAAATTTTCACACACCAGGAAGTAATTATTTTTATGTAATGTCATTTTAACTGTCCAGATTCTTGGTGCTGTTAACATGCAGAACCTGCAAAAAAATGGGGAACCGACTTTGAGGCTTCTTTATAATTTGCCAGCACCTTTGTCTGAAGCTCTACTATCAATTTATGAGCGCCTTAATGAGGATTGCAAAACATGCGCACCATGTTTTTTGCTTTTTGAAGAAACTGTGTGTTTTCAGTTTTTTCCATTTTTCTCAAAAAAGTAAATTTGTGACTATTCAATTTTGAGGCTTCAATATCTCTGTAGCTAGGGCAGGTACAACAATAATTCTCTTTGCAGTGGAAACCTGTAAGTGTGTAGAATGCAAGTATGGGAGCAGAATTTAGAGCACATGCCTTTTTAATTAATTACTAATCAAAATTGTAACACAATTCCAACTGCTTTTAAAAATATATAGTTCATTTTGCTGCAAAATAACCAATAAAGGCCTAAAAACAAAAACCTCTTCCATACTTTCACTCTATAGTCATTAGTCTATGTTGGCATATCCTAAATATCACTTTTAATTAAGCACTTTTTTTTCTATGGTGGCCTTAAACAATAGGGGGTGAACTTAGGTTATCTCAGAAACAAAGTGAGTTATAGGAAAACTAATTCAATATTTGAAATCAGCAGAAAAAACTGCATAACTTTGTGCAGTTTTATCAAGATCACTGAAGAAATAAACAAAAAATGTCTAAGACCAGTCTGCCCCCTTAAACTAATATGCTTTCATTAGGATTGTGCGAACATTCCAATGCTTGGAATGTTCGAACGAATATCACTGTGTTCAAATTGCTTTCGATTCGAGTTAAATTGTTGAAAATTTTGATGTATTCGAAATGAACGAATAGCTGTATAATGGACCAATTAACCATGGACGTTCAATGGTTCTTCCATCGACCCGTCCATGGTTCATCCTATGGTTTGTCCATCCATCTGTTCATCTATTCGTGGTTCGTCCACCCATTCACCCATCTATCTGTGGTTCAATCGTCTGTAGATCTCGCAGTGTATATCCTGTCATAGCTAAGCTATGCCACTACATATCTTTTTTCACTTCCATTGAACCAATTTGCCCAAGCCTTATTTTAATATTGTGCCAGTAAGTTGGGTCATGACAAATATGCCCATTTTAACATGAAACCTCTCCAAGGTCCACCAAGACTTCAGAGACAATTTATGTCACGGAAATGACGTTGAAAAAATACACACGATCAGAAGACATAGAAAAATTTCCATCAACCAGTGTCGAGCCAACGACCTCTCGGTTTGTGACAACAGATGCTGGGCCTGCTGTCGATTGAGCCACGGTCTCATACTGTGGTGGCTTTAAAAACACTCATTTTATATCTACCACCTTCTCCTCTCAGTGTTCTTGGTAAAGTGAAGTAATGCATCACCACGTGACATCCACGATTACTAGTTCCTTTAATGTGTCATTTCTATTGTTCAATCCCATTCAGCACATTTCAAATAGAAGTGAAACTTTCAATGCTTTTGGGGAGATGTGGGTCTGGAAAAAATTTTTTATTGGTTGTCTGAACAGAATGAAACTTAACAGCCTTGAACAGTTTTTCTATATAATCCGAATCTTTAAGTAGATTGTAAATACATAAATTAGAACAGAAAATATTAATTTTATAATGTATGGATATAGCATATTTCTTACACGGTTTTTTGGTAACTTCACTTTGTCGAACACAAAAACAAGGTATGTAACAAGATTGCCAAAAAGCTGGCCTAGCCTGTGATGTTAATTTGATTAGTTCTAATAAATTTCAAGTGCCAGATAAACGGATAAACTTCTGACTCATATTATTTACAATCCTCAAGAATCACAATTCAGTGAATAATGTGAAAATATTTGAGGTTAGAAAAAAATAAATAGCATCACCGGCCAGGTCTGTTCAATGTAAAGACAATGGTGTAAAACTTGTTAAAGTGAGTTAATAACAATATATCGAAATGTTCCGTAAGGCTATGCGATATCTCGAAAAATTATGAAACAAAAAACAAGCGTTCGAAGTTTCTGTTTCCAATTGATGTGGTATCGCAACATATAAATAGCATAAATAGCATCGTAGCATAGTATAAAGAGCATAAATAGTATATCATATTTACTACCATAATAAACCCAACTTTTTTCAGAAAAGTTGACACCAATTTGGACGGGAGGGTTCATTATGCAAGACAAGAAAAGTCACTGGAGTTATAACAGCGAAAACTTCAGGTGACGACTTTGCTTGTCTTGACCCGTGAAATGCACGACAAATCTTTTTTATAGCCCGAAGCTCTTTTTGTTTCATCCCGTAACAAATGTTTATGGATCGACGCTGAAGTGTTGTCTAGTCGCTCGGTTACAATGCTACAGCGCATGCTGATAAACCAGCCGTGTAGCTAGCGTACTGGCCAAACGCGCCCTCCACAGCAGGTGTCCCAACTAAGTTCACAACAGCAAACCCAACAATAAAAACGCACCGTCCGATGGTGGCGCACAGACGTTGCAACAGACGTTGCGGGTGCACGACTCCCCGTCGACTCGGTGGGTGTGGTTGCGCTTTGAATAGCTCCGAGATGGCGAGCGTGCGGCGTGTTTCTACGCAACGCGCTCCATGACACAGCGCGAGTCATTTTGGACGCCACGCGCTTTGTTTTTGTGCCGCTATACTTGCGTGGCGCTATCAGCATGTCCTCCAAGTTGGCAAGCGCGCGACTGGCTCGGCCGTCCCAATCGCACCGAGAGAGCGTTTTTCCAGAGGTGGGCATGGCCCGCTATTTGCTCGGCACCACGACGCTGCTTCGTATGGTAGAAAAGGCTGTTGCGCTGTTGGCGAAGCTTGCATGTGGCGAGAAAAAGATGGTTTTGCGCTGTTATATAACTTCAGCACTCATTTGGGAATGTGGGGCCAAGGTGTACGAGAGGCCTGGACTTTTGCTGTAGATTTGCGCCGCCCATATTAGAACACTTATAATTGCGATGCCTCTGCAAGAGATCCGCATGTGCTGGAAACTGACTGCACTTCGAAGTTTGCAGGTTCTATAGTATGAAGGGCGCTTGCGAAGAAAAAAATGACAGCCAGGTCAACAAGTGAAGCCAGACGAGTGCCGCGTTCTACGTTCACAGGTTGCACTCGATTGAAAAGGGTTGCTTTTTCTTTCCTTTCATAGAACTAGCGCTGCTTTTCATTATAACATCGTTTCTAGAATCCTCTTGTCAAGCCGCAGAAGCAGAATACAGGGAGGAGGGTGCAGGCAATTGCTATGCGTCTAGACGATGTCTAGACTGAACGTCACTGTTTCTGCGATGACCATGGGCTGGTTGCAGGCACGTTTTGGTCACTTATGGTCGCCCATTCGTACTGTGAATTTTACGGTGTTCAGTGGATACGTTGGGCAATGTAAAAACGAACATCGAAATGTTCTGTTTGTTCAACAAGTACACAACACGCGTTCAGAGTTTGACGTACCTGGTATGAAACATTGCGGTAGTACATAGCAGTGACCATTTGCTTTTTTTCAACGGCACTTCGGTTGACCACCTCATAAATATCCGTATGCAATATAATAGTAAAATTATGACTCAAAATATAGGAGAGCTATACAATTCAACGATGATAATTAGTCCAATTTTAACCCATACAAGTCTCCAGAGGAAAGGAGAAATACTAGAATGCCTCTACATTTCTCAAATAGAGGTATTTAGCACCGAGAGAAAACAGATCGTAATGAAAAAAAAAAAACTAATATTTCTCGATTGAATTCAGCTTTCAGATTTTGACAGGAGGTTATTAAGTGTTTGAACTTCGCCATACTGCACTTTTTCAAAAATCCACATTTTCGTGATTTTTCACCATTTCAAGACCCGTGTCTCCCCTTTAACACTCCCCAGGTGGCGACCTTACAGAAATAATCGCCGTCACTCATGCCATCCATTCAAAGCAAAATTAGCCCTGCAGCCTTTGCAACGTGCCTGCTCCGCATTCCCCACTTACCCTCGCCCCCCAAAAAATTGTGGCTGACTAACAGGGAAGACAGAATGCGCATTGAATCTGCCTCTAATCAAACCCTGGTGTTCAGTAACTAACATGTCATGAGTAGGCCAACTTGGCCCAATTTGGTGTACAATCATTTGGGCTCTTCAGGCAGTCAAAGCCCCTCTATGACCACAAGGGCATGTTATCGGGATAGAGATTGAACCCAAAGAGTCAATATGAATGCATCATTGGTGTTTTACCTGTCAAATGCAAAACAGACATTCCATAAGCACTCTTCTATCAATGTACAATAAAGATTTAACTGCTTCTGTAAGGACACATTTTACATTTGTGTTATACCGATTCATATAATAAAAGGATAAGACATTTTTTTTTCCTAATAATATTGTCATGTTATAATGTGGCAGAAACGTGTAACTGGGGGCCGGTAGAACGTCAGGCTAGTCTAATCACTGGTAAAGCAAACTCGTTCTTTTTTGCCTTTTGACATGTACTCGTATTCAAATTCAATTCAAAAGTATTTGACCCAAATCATTATACTTCGAACCCTTTATTCGCACAAGCCCAGCTTTTACACAAACTTGCACGCTAGCATGCTTTGCTCCACGTTCGTTTTGAGATGCGTGCGTGCCAGAGTGGACAATATTCTGACTCACCCTTGGCCTTGTGGTTGCGTGCAATGTTCCGTAGCCGTTGGTACTCGTTCTTGGCTACGCGCTCCTTCTTCTTCTTTTTCAGCTCAGCGTGGTAGTCCACCATGGGGTCTGACAGTGACAGAAGAGCCCACACACACGCATTTGACTTCACCCTGCTATCACACAATGCCGCTCAAAATTGCAGTTCCACACGCTCTCACAGCCTGTTCAAAGAGCCAATGAGTTACCATTCAAGGAAAATTCCTTTGCAAAAAAACAAGAGCAAACTCGCGATAATTCAAACTCTCTGAATTCTTACTTTCCATTAATTCAAACAAAATTCTTTTTTTTGGTTGGCCCTCTATACTTTCAACGTATTTCGAATTCATCATTTGATTAATTCATACTTTTTGCAGTTCCATACTGAAAAATATATGCTGCTTTCCCACTACAATTTGAAAACTTGCATGCTTATATAATCTTAGCAGTCTCCAAATTACAAATAAATGTCTTAGGCATTCAAAAAAAAAGGATTTGCTAATAAACAAATGTTTTAAATGAAGCACACGCACGGTAAACCATGATAATTCTCAACTGGTATAGAGAGGTTTGTGCTGAAGGCACATATAGCAAAGAAGCAGTTGGCAATTCACGATTTTTTTAAAAGGTCTGATCAGCAGTAAATGGCCAATAAACTTGTGGATCTTACACCTCTGCTTTTTGTTCATTGTGTGCAGTTAGCATAAAAAAGTTTAAATGTGATAAAATAAATGCCTAATTATAATGTGAAGTGTCACCTAGCCCAGATTCATATATCTAAGAAAATTCAGAGGTCCCTTCTAGCTTGAATTAACGAGAGACGACTGTACCCCTGATGTGATTCCTTCGTGAGAAGGTCAAGCAATGCACATGAACAGACATTCACAGAGATAGCAGTGTGTGGCATAGCTGCAGCACATAAAATTGAAATATAGCATTATAACGTTTTTTGTACTGTATTATACTGCCCTGCTACAGGTTAATTCAGCACCATTGAATGCTGTATGAAGCTATCCTCGCATTTTTTTCTGTTTTTTTATGAGTGTATTGCCCCTCCTCCTCGGGTCAACTAGGCCGGCAGTAAATTCAAGTAAATAAAAAAAAAATAAATAAATAAATATTGGCTAGTATGTGCAAATTCCAAGATATCAATATACCTCGTTGCTGAAAGTAGCTAAATGTTCAAGTTGAAAACACATCGTTGTGGCACAAACCGAAGAGTGGGAAAACGAAATTATAAGCGTTACTTACCCCTAAACTGCTGCCTTTGAATTTGGGGTGTGCAAATAGTGAAGTTTGTATGTAATTGAACCGCATATGAATCGAATAGGAATGACACCAAACCAAATTTGAATGAAATATAATTTGAATAGTTTTCTAATAGTAAGGCACCAATTTTTCAAAGCAGGCATAGACTGGTAAGCTGAATATTTTCGTAACAGCCCAATAATTCCACAACACTTCATTTTAAGCCAATACTATACCCATGCTTTAAAAAGAAGGATATTACGGCTACTTTCAACCAAAAAACAAAAGCAATACAGTTATTTAAACTAAGCTGCAATTGGAGCCTTTGAAATAATTTGCAAATGCAGGCTGAATTATCATCATCATCAGCCTGACTACGTCCACTGCAGGACAAAGGCCTCTCCTATGTTCTGCCAGTCAACTCGGTCCTGTGCTTGCTGCTGACAATTTATACCCGCAAACTTCTTAATCTTCATCTGCCCACCTAACCTTCTGTCTCCACCTAACCCGCTTCCCTTCTCAGGGAATCCACTTAGTTACCCTTAATGACCAGCGGTTATCCTGTCTACGCGCTACATGCCCGGCCCATGTCTATTTCCTCTTCTTGATTTCAACTATGATATCCTTAACCCCCGTTTGTCCCCTAAATCCACTCTGCTCTCTTAAGGTATGACCTACCATTTTTCTTTCCATTGCTCGCTGCGTCATCCTCAATTTAAGCAGAACCCTCTTTGTAAGTCTCCAGGTTTTTGCTCCACAGCTAAGTACCGGCAAAATGCAGCTGTTATATACCTTCCTCTTGAGGGATAGTGGCAATCTACCTGTCACAATTTGAGAGTGCTTGCCAAATGTGCTCCACCCCATTCTTATTCTTCTTGTTACTTGAGTCTCCTGGTTCGGCTTCGCGGTTATTACCTGCCCTAAGTGAACATAGTCTTTTACAACTTGAAGTGCACTATTACCTATCTCGAAGCGCTGCTCCTTTCCGAGGTTGTTGTAAATTACTTTCGTTTTCTGCAGATTAATTTTAATAACCGCCTTCCTGCTCTCCTTGTCTAACTTCGTAATCATGAGTTGCAGTTCGTCCCCTGAGTTACTCAGCAATGCGATGTCATCGGCGAAGCGCAGGTTACTAAGGTATTCTCCTTCAACTCTTATCCCTAGCTGTTCTCATTCTAAGCCTCTGAAAACCTCCTGTAAACATGCGGTAATTAGCATTGGGGAGATTGTGTCCCCCTGCCTTACACCCTTCTTGATTAGTGTTCTGTTGCTTTCTTTATGAAGCACTATGGTAGCAGTTGATCCCCTGTACATTTGTTCCAGGATGTTTACATATGTTTTATCGACGCCCTGATTCCGCAGTGTTTGCATGACTGCTGATATTTCTACTGAATAAAACGCCTTCTCATAATCTATGAAAGCTATGTGTAGTGGTTGTCTGTATTCTGAGCATTTCTCTATAACTTGATTGATAGTATAAATGTGGTCAATTGTTGAGTAGCCTGTTCGAAATCCTGCTTGTTCTTTTGGTTGATTTAATGCTAATGTTTTTTCAACTCTGTTAGCAATTACCTTTGTAGACAGCTTGTACATGACGGAAAGCAAGCTGAACGGCCTGTAATTCTACAAGTCCTTGTCATCTCCTTTCTTATGTATTAAGATGATGTTAGCATTCTTCCCAGACTCTGGTACTCTTCCCGTCAGGAGACACCTTGTAAACAGGGTGGCTAGTTTTTCTAACACAATCTGTCCTCCATCTTTCAGCAGATCTGATGTTAAAGCAGGCTGAATTATAGCAGTGATTAATTACAGTATTCAAAGTGATAAAATGCCAATAACTTTCAAATAAAACCACAATATATATAATGACCAAATTCTTGTGACTTAACATCATTATCAATTTCATGGTGAAGAAAGTTGATTATTGACACTGCTGCTTCTGTGATAATTGAATTTTTAGCCCTCTGTTTTCATCGTGTGATCAATATGGTGTAGGCAGTGTCATGAGTCAACGCCTTCTCTAGGATGATGCCTGCCGCATGAGAAAAAAAACAGCTGCCACATCTTTTCTCTCCTTCATTTTTAAATTGTTCTTGGTCGCTAGCGTCACCTGTGGCGGACGGTGCAACAATGCAACACTTTGCATAGCCTCCGAAACAGTGATGCCCAGTTGCAGGTCTCGAACAACTCTCGACTGACGCGCCCTTATGGGCCGTAGATGAAAAACGCTTAGCTGGTAGCGCCCGTCGCCGTGATGCTATTGTCGGTCACGAGCGCCACCGCACGGAGCTTGTTTAAAACTGAAGGCAGGCCAACTCCGCTGGGAGTGCGAGCCATTCCTCAGGCATCTATCTGGAGGAGGCGTTGCATGAGTATATGGGCTGCGTGTATATTGGTATAATTCGATGATAAAAACAAGAAAAGTTACCCTTGGCTATTCCCAAGCCTCAGCCCTTGAGCATTTTTCTAATTACTGATTATTGAAAAGCTATTCGAAAAATACTATTTGGTATTTGACCTTACAGAAATAATCGCCGTCACTCATGCCATCCATTCAAAGCAAAATTAGCCCTGCAGCCTTTGCAACGTGCCTGCTATTGAATATTCGCTATTGCATTCCCATACTGAACTGAATATTCGCTATTGCATTCCCATACTGAACTGAACAAAGTGCAATTCAATTTGTTATTAGAAATTTTCAAATACTCGCATGCAGATACTAAAAGTCTATGAGGGCAGCACATCAACACCGCCATCTCTCATGTTCCAGAGAAACATTTCTCATGTTCCAGAGAAACATCTCTGCCAGTAATGTGCCCTTCTGCATTGACTGGGTGATTCACAAGCAAGCACGTCAATTTCCTCTTCCCACTGCACCGCCCATGCATTCACTGATTATAACTGCATTTACCGGCCCAAAGCGACTAAGGCGATGAGAGATGCTGCTGTAGAGGGCTCCGGATAATGCCAGCCACCTGGGATTCTTTTTTAACATGCACAGTGAATGGGCCTCTAGCGCTTTGGCTACATAAAATGCTACCACTTAAGTCAGGATTTCATCCTAGCATCCTAGTTTCTGCTTAGCAGGCAAGCACTGCAACCACTTAGCCACAGTCTACACGAGCTGACAACTACACTTCATAACAGTGTTCTATTCACCAAGTTGAAGCATGAGCTGAATGTGTAAAGGCTGCAATATAGGGTCCCTGCACAACACGTACTGGAAAGCTATATTACTCGCAATGTTCACTTCGGCCTCCACCGATTGGCTGGAGCTGGCGAGCGGTGCACTGCCTGTGTCCGGTCTTTCTTCTGCAATGTCACTTTGACGCACGCAGCTTTCACAACTCTCGATTGAAATAAGGAAACAAAATGCGTTTCACCCCAACGAATGCTACCCTCAGAGATTCGCTTTGGGACGCACATCTCTGAAGCCGTGCACGAACTCTAACCACGTAAGCCCTTGAATTAGGTTTAACGCGACTGCCTCATTGATGCCCCTGGAAGATTGTTACACATACCCTGCATCACTCATAAAACATCTCAACACATTCAGACGCACGCTAGACTTGTCAAGCTTATTCAAGAGTCTTGTTGCTGCACATTTCATCCAATTAGGATAGTTCTGGCAGGTTCGGTGCACCAGCCACGTCAAGAGCGCTATAACATCATGACTGACTGTTTTTTTTCTTGTGTGTAACTGCACGGCGCTCCTCCGAATTGGGCATGCCCATGAATTGGACACTGCGAGAATCGCACCCCTGTGTTCACTTTTTGTTAAAGTTTTAGCACTCAATTTTGTTTTGTTTTACCTATCATTTGCTCCAAAAACTTTACTCTTAAGTGACCTCTCATGCTGCAATCGCAGACTGACAATGCAGTGGTGGAACAGCTGAAGAGCTGCCCACACGAGACTCGCAAGAGGTGAAAGTAACTATTAGAAAAAAAATAAAAGTCAAGCACCATGTCAGAAAGGCATGCACTTGCCTTCTCATCAGTTTTCATCCTGGTGCCATGCTGTGCTTACACACTTTGAATCACGCTCAACCAGCTCCTGTAATGCTTGACACAGCTTGGCCGACCTACCTTTATTTTCAGGAACTTCAATCAGCCAGTTGTTCTTCTTCTCAACCTGGGCTCGCTTGTAGCCATACCGAGGTCGCCAGTCCTGCAGAAAGAATGAAGTGCCACTTAGTGGTTTGAATTTGAAGAAGCTTGAATTTCTCGTTTTCTCGCTTCTATTGAAAGATTTCGCATTCCATTACATTTCGGCATGGAAACTCAACAGCCAGAACTCATTATTATAACTGATAATGTGGCATGCGGGCATAGCTGTAAGCAGGTTATTTATGCATGGCGAACACACAAAAGTTGACTGTGCAGCAGCTTCTCATTATTATTAACGTTACACTGTTGAAACCGGTGTGGTTATAAGTGGGTTTGACTGTATCAACTCGTGTATAACAAAAAGCCCCTACACACTTATCAATTGAGACAAGAACCACTTAGAGTGCAAATTACTTAGAGTGCAAATTAAAGTTTTGTTTCTGTAGTGCAACCTGAAAAGTAAGACTAGTGCTACTTATCCAATGGAAACGCTTCTGGCATATTATTTGACCAGCACAATTGAGTTTCTGACACACAGTTGATATGAAAAAACAAAAACAAAACAAAAAACCACTTGCATCGATCGCGTTTAGTGTACAGGCAGTTGCAATACGCTTCACTACTCCAAAAGTGCTCCCCTAAATCTTGAAAGCAGCTGGCCTCACCTTGATGGTCTCGTCCCACACCAGCTTTTCGCGCTTGCGAGACTTGATGCCTTTCTGCTTGGCAAACTCGGACCATCTCGTTGGAGGCTTAGGTTTGGGTACCTGCACAAGGAGAAGGCAAATGAGAATCCTGCGTTCGAATATAATGCTAACGGCAAACATGCGAGAATATCAACGTGTGGGCTAGCAGCATGTGTTGGCAGGGGTGTTGGCAGAAGGCACATGCAGCTATCACATTCCTCCACGATGTATATAGCCCGAGTGGGAGTTTTAAGACATGCACGTCCTGCACACTTCATTCTTATTTTGACAACAAGGGCACTAAAGTGAAATAATGACTCAGTCTAGATTGATAAACTCTACTCTGAGAACCATAATATTGATGACTTCACTAACATAGGTTTATGTGATAACAGAGGAGATCATGGTCAAAATTTCACTTTTAATTTTGCATCTAAATCTCTGCTTGTGAGGTCACAGATTTCAAAGTGTCTCATTGGTATTTTGGTGACATCGGCTCAATGAAACCTGCTAAAACTAGGTACATCAACTCTAAGGCCCTTTCAGATGTCAATGCACTCCATGTTAAGTAGTTAAAAGTTATATGGCAGCTAGTAGAAACCATTAAAGCCTATGACATGACAACGTATGCTGCAGGAATTTCAGGGTAGCATCGCGACCCACACTCATTTTCTGTGCATTTTGTTACTTGCCAAGAGTCTTTACGTGGCAAGTGTGAAGAGTTTGAAATTGTGAAAGGGTAATTTACTCTTACGAGGAAAATTGTTTTTCTTGTTAGTGTGCCTCCTTTTAGACACTGGAAATGAGCACAAGTTGACTATTCAAACAAAGGGAGTGGGAAGGCACACTAACTTACTTCATCCCTTCTTTCTTTTTCACACAAGCTACATGCAACAACACGGCAAAGAGGGAAGAAGGGGGGAGCCCTGAACAGGTTCGTAAACGAAAAACACAGGCGTTGCAGTCTTAGCAGTCTTATACCAAATTTACTTGCGTAATGAATGCACTCAATAAATGCACCCCCAACTTAACTCGTCAAAATCTGGATGTCTTTTTCTCCCGCGTATAAAATGCACCACTAACATTTATCAGCTGCAGTCCCACTAAATGACATCATTGAATCTCTTTCACTTTTTTTTTATTATTATGCCACCCCGCCCCCCGCCACCTTGGCTCGTTCCCTAACTCTATTCTCCTGCTGCCCCATGCCATACAGTTCTTTCTCATATCTGTGTGCGGCATGCCCCGTCTTTTTTTTTTTTTTAATTATCTGTGACCCACAGCGGGCCTCATGAACGGTGTGAGTGTAGAGACATTGCAGCTGACGAGCACACAGCGAGCGACGGTCATGAAACTGCCTGTGCCAAGCAACGATCGCTTCCTGCTAATACGACATTTTAAGGCCCAACCACACGCTCGAGATTTTCGAGCGACAACAGGATTTGCTGTCGCCATAGCAGTTGCAAAGTGCCATTCCTCGCCATTGCGTCGCAGGTTTCAGGATAACCAGAAAAAAATGCTTGTCACCTAGAAAAGATCCTTAGGGTATCTGCAACATGGTAGCACCATGATTCTCACTTCAGTTGCAATTCCCTCTTCGTGCTTGTTATCCGTGTGTACTTCAAGGAACGCAAGATATAGGCTAACTTTTCTGCAGTAACTTCTCACGTGGAAAGCAAGATGGTTTCATCGTTGATCTTGTTATCGACAGTTTGTTTTGATGCTTCGGTGGTAGCTTGCTTAAGGTTAACAGTGCGAAAATAACACATGGCAGAGGGGAAATAGACGGAAAAAGCTCCGACTTCGAACTGAAATTTTATTGACAAGGTTAGTATAAATACCCGAGCGAACAGAAAAAACTGTGAAAAAAAAAGATGACATTCAAAAATACGAAATAACATCAACAATTACTGAGCCTGTTACGCTGACACTTGCACCCTCAAAAACAGAGCTCTCTTTCTGATAGAGCAACTGATGGCTTGCTTACGCATGTGCTCCTTTCAAGCGCCATCTGAGCAGCTTCATAGATTATACGCTCATGTTCTTCTTTAATCTTGTTGAGAACTGTGGTCTTTTCATACTGCGGAGTGCACCCACAAGTGCTCAGATGTGGCACCAGGAAACCATGTTTGCCAATATGAATGTTATTAATGTGTTCCCGTAGGCATTCGTTTAGGCATTTACCCGTCTAGCCCACGTAACAGGCATTACAAGACAATGGGATTCTGTGCACCACGCATTGCGCAGAGTTGACTGATTGCATCTTGTTCTTGACAACGCGCTGTTTTCAGTGCCTCTTTACGGGCACGTCCTGTCTGTCAACTGGCACAACTTATCAACAGCACTGAAAACCACCTTCACGTTGAGGCCTTGTCCTATTTTCTTTAAGCAATGTGACACAGAGTGCATATACGAAGTGACCGCCAACTTTTCCCGCTTTTCCACAGTGGTGCGTTCTCTGTTAGCGTCACAGCCCTTACACTTCCGTTTCCTGTGCATTGCTTCTGCCATAAAAATGAGGAAAGGGCACGGGTACCCTTCTCTTTCTAGCAGGTTCAGTGATTGTTTATCTTATTTCGTATCTTTCCAACGGTCACCTTTTTTTTTTTTTCACTGTTTTTTCCGTTCACTAGGGTATGTCTAATTAGCCTTCTTGTCAATAAAATTTCAGTTGGAAGTGAGCGCTTGTCCCGTATTTTTCCTGTCGCCATCTGTTATTTTCACACTCTCTACATCAATTCTTTCGTTACTGCACAAAGATAGCTGTTTTTCATATGTCTTGGAAAGATAGCCTTTGCCAGTTTGAAAAGTACTCCAGCACGCATTGCAGACAACAAAATGCTCTTTGAAAAAATATATCTTGTAGAGTAACAAAAATATTTTTATATCAATAAAAATGTGAAAGTGTGTAATTTTTAGCAGTTGGCTGGTAAACAGTGCCATAAAAAACACAATATATGCAGAAACATTCAAAAAAAAGAAAATTTGAAATATATATTTCGAAGGCGAATTGTCCAGGAACTATATAAAAACTAACAAATATTGTACAAAATGTTTTTATTGGTGTACAAAGAGAAAATTGGAACCTAGCCGCTGCTTCATTATACGTGCCACGTGGTCAACCATTGCTTGGTTTTTCGTCTGCCATAGTGAACGCGCACCCTTTTCTCAGTATTAATTTTTTGTGTGTGATAAGAGCCCACAGGTGTTCCAACATAGGATGGATGCCTGTGATGTGAATATTCCTGCTATAAAGCAAATGTCCAACGAACTTTATTATTTCATCTAGCGTCACTTCTTTCCATAAGCCACCTCACTCAGCTTAGGTTGGCATTCCTATATATGCATCCAAGCATATTTCTTTGCAATTATGTACATCGTATTAAAAAAAAACAATATCGCACGCAGTTCTAAAATGTCCTAAAATTCGTAGTCATGGCCAAGATGTGCTGCAGTGGCCTTCTTTTCATGAAAGTAAGCTCTACAGCCGGCGGAGGTACACCGCACCCCAGCAACGTGGGGACCTCGCACGATGCCAGAGTAGTTATAAAATTGTGCACAAAGGTCAGCAGCAATGCACTTGCGGCGTAGGAGACAACTTGAGGCCGTAAACAAAACAAACCCATGAACAGCTGCGGATGTCTCAGGCCAACGCAAAACATTGTCTCCATCAAACATGAAGCTGAGGTGCTGTCATCCTCGGACTCAAGAGCTCGTTTTCACTCAATTCAGGTGCGGTTGCAAGACAGTTTTGAGCGGTGTGTGCATTTTGCAGCGCAGATGCCCACCCATGCGCATGCGATGCCACCGCCATAGGAGTGACTAGTCACACCAGTTGCCGCCCTGTATCCAATATAACGACACAAGCGAAACTAAAGCTGCTGGAAACTGGCTGATAAGGCCACCTACACAATTTACACATACAGCGGACCTTCGGAAATATTTTTCGTAGGGTAAATTTTCCCTGAATCCTAGCAACAGCTCTCTATTGAATAATTGGCATTAATTTCTGGCAATTATAAACTGATCATTGATTGATATGTGGGGTTTAACGTCCTAAAACCACCATATAATTATGAGAGACGCCGTAGTGTGGGGCTCCGAAAAATTCGGACCACCTGGGGTTCTTTAACGTGCACCCAAGTCTGAGCACACGGGCCTACAACATTTCCGCCTCCATCGGAAATGCAGCCGCCACTGCCGGGATTCCATCCCGCGACCTTCGGGTCAGCAGCAGAGTACCTTAGCCACTAGACTACCGCGGCGGGGCAATTATTAGTGATCAACAGAGTCATATTGTGAAGCTGACAACTTAATTCGATATTTGGCTTGCAAAGGCTCTTTTCATTGCAGAACTTTGATGTTACTGTAGAACAACCCTGACAGGCACACACTTCTGCAAGTTCGCCAGCCAAGTCTATTTTACGGCAACACAGGCACATTGGTTCATGCAAAACTCTATCAACAATCACTATTTTGCCAAAGCGGGCCAACTGAAATTGATTCTGAATGTTGAGTGGCTTCACAAACTACTAAAAACAGCTGCGTGCGCGAGAAACATATTCAACATGCCGTAATCAGCGATACAAAGCGTCGATCATAAGTGATGGATTTAAAGAGGCGCGGTAACGAAAGATTTAAGTATGCACAACCAACTAGCCCAGTCAGCTATTTTGATAGCTTGGTGCAATGTCAACGACGATGGTGCGGTCGTTGTGAGAGGTTATCATGAAGTTGGCGAAGTGCATTGCAGCGCCGTAGTGCACACGTCTGGGCGCCCCTCGAGATCACAGCAGATACCACTGTTGTGGTTAAACGATTGCAAGTAAACAAAGTGGTGAAACGCTTCAATGAAGTGCACGGGTGGCGCAGGGACAGCTTGCAAGTGATAGCACCTTCATCCATCGAAGATGAGTAAAGTGCAACAATGAAGCTGTTTACAGTGTGCGCATATGTGAAAAACTAAGCGACCTAATTTTTTCTTTTTTTTTTGCATTACCGCATTTTTCGCTTATCCTGAAAAAGAAAAGTTTTCATAAAATTCACCCCGCATAATAAATGCACCTTCAAATTTGCTCCAATTTTTCTAGAAAAAAAGTGTGTTCATTACACAAGTAAATACGGTAATGGCTTATAGCGGCCCAACAAAAATACAGGCAGGCTTTCTTAACTACAATTGGATCTCAGTGATACGGCCCTCATAGGGGTGCAAGAATATTTATAGAATAAAAAAACAATAGCAATATCAGTTGTGAAACCACAATATACGCACAAAAAATATATTTCCACCACAAAAATCTCACGTGTTACCATAATTGAAGACAGAAAGAAACGCCGAAATGCATCGTGCTGGTTTATGACTTTAATGATATTTTAATTCATTGCTGCTTTAGGCAAAAGCTGTCCGAGCTGATAGTCACTATCGATGATTGCACTGCAGTGACCACAGTTTTGTGCGCGGCAGTTGCAGCAAAAGGTAGTTCCATTTTCAATCCGCATGCCCTGACTGCACACACGCCTTGAAAACTCTGATGTTCATTAGTATCTATCCATATGCCTCAGTTTTGTCTGCAGCATTGGCATAATGCAGCTTTGTTTTACCTGGGAATGCACGTCCATCTACTTTTGGAGTTCGAGGCATTTTGTCGGCGCCAGAAATAATCGTGTCAAAAGCGACCTCAGTTTTGGTTGGGGCAAATGATCACCACAGTCCTGACACTGTATGCCCTGGCAGCGCTTGCAACTCCCAAGCTTTGAGCACACTTTCTTTTTTGGCCATTGGTCTACGGGTTTAGTATCAAAGATTGTACCTCCTGTCGCGACACAGGAAAGTGTTCCGAGCATTTAAGTTTTTGCCCATTGGACACAGTAGGATTCGCCTGGGGAATTACCTGAATTCATACCACTGACATTCCGCTGTTCGTTTACATTTACGCATGCTAAATTGGTTTACATAGTGTTTGTACAAAGCCTGGATTGGCTTGGGTTGGATTTTTATCAGTATGACTAGGTCACGCACAGAAATTTCAATTTTCAGGACATTTTCTTGCTAATCGTACAAGCATAAGAAATGATCGAAATCGGAGAGACTTGGCAGGTATGCAACGAGAGAGGGCGATCAGGTTTCGTTGATGTTTATATTATGACATGCACTGACATATCATCGTTCCCCGGTGCCACATTGTAGCTTCCAATGCACTCGTTTGGATGAGACAAAAGAGAAAGCAAATAAAACTAATGAGCAATCTCTGTAACACCACTCAGTCTAGACAGATTATAGAAATGATTGCGGCAATTGATTCATGAGACGGTAAACTATGGTACGGAGATTTTTCAATGATTTTCTTGAAGGATGGTTAGCATCCACTTTAAGTACTGAAAGGTGGTGTTTGCAATAATTGGGGTTGACTATCCATGCTCTACTTATCAACTAAACTCTGAAATTAGGCAATGTTTCGCACAAAGTGACACGAGGATAACAAGGGAGGACACAACGCAGCGTTGTGTCACTTTGCGCTAAACATGTCTGAACAACAAGGCCAAATATCTGCACTTGTAAACTCGGAAGATAAGGTCGGTGCCAAAACAGGGCTAAGGAAGATTGCGTGTCTATGCAATGCCCCTCATTAACAATAGACAAGTAAGCTGGTTAGCGAAGAGCGTGCCTACATCACACTTAATGATGCTGGCAGTGCTACAGCCCATGTTACACAACAGATTCCACACGTATGGTTACCACTGAGATAAAGGTCTGATATTAAATGATAGGACCAGAAAAAATGCGACGCAGCAATGAGCACGAAGCATCGAAACTATTACAAGCAAACAACAGCAGTAGTTGTAGTGGCATATAGTTAAATGAGCACAGAATGTCAAGAAATGCTAGAGCTTACTGGTTTCTCCCTGGGTATCCTCGTGGTCCCAGCAGGCAACTGAAATGGTGTGAAAACACGTGAGAGGATGATACCTTCTGGCAGCTAGTTTGCCCAGCTGAGGCGAGAACATGTAACACTAGATTTCAAACATCCCAGACAAGACCTAGCCATGAATTTGCCCACAGATGAATATAATGCACTAAAATAGCTGTCATATTTGAAAATACTTCCACCTCAAATGATTCTCAAAAAGGAACTCTAAACGTGTAGTACTGTGCACATAACCCACACACTGGGTTATCAAAACCATATATCGGGAGCCATTCCAAAATGAAGAAGACTCAGCTTCAGAAATGTTTTTTTTAAGATTTTTATGAAAGTTTCACATGTGATGTATTTTTCCTATGCTGATTTTAAATACAAAATTGTTCATAATGGGATGCATGCACAGCTGCATGCATGCCATTCATAAGTTCGAGAAATTTACGTTCCCTGCTTTGTCTTTGCTCGAACATTGCAATACAGTAGAGCCCCGCTACAATGAACGCTGCTTCAATTATATTTCCAGTATGAAGAATTCTTTGTTCACTGCCATCAGATGTCTGTAACAGTCAATGCGTAAATATTCTTGTCACAACGAACACTTTTTCTTCTGCCATCCTACTTCAACAAAATTAGTTAATGCAACACCAGGCTCGAATATATAATGCCATGCAATAAAACCAATCTAGAACATTTGGCCCATCTTCAGAACTTAAAGAGAGGTCTACAAAGTCTACATAACGTGTTGGCACCACCACAAACCACTTCTGCTAACTGCGTAAACATTCTTATGAATGCCATTGAGGAAACTTTGGCACTACTGTCCATGGGAGCTGCAATGCTCCCATACACAATAGTGCCAGCATGGGAGCATTGCAGCTCCTATAGACACTAGTGCCGACATTGACACATAGCCAGCATGGGAATCGTAGGTGGTACACAGATTAGTCTAATCTTCATTCTTTCGATTCCATTCGGCCCCATGGGCTTGAATCCGCTTCGCCGCAAGACGAAATTCAGCAAAAGCTATTCAGTTGCGCTTCACCACTCTGACTTGTCAGGGCTCACCAATTCAAATCGGCTCACGAAGTTCACAACTAACTGTTCTTTCATTCGAAACAAAATTAATCGCATCTTCGGTCGAGGCACAACTGGCACCGTGACGGTGGAAAAGAAGTTACGTCAAACACCACCCGAGTGCCTCGCCCGCTACGGGCCAGACGAACGTGTGAACCGCAAGACTGGAATCCATGGCAGCAGCGCCATCTGCGGGAGAGGCCATACAGATGACAATTTCCAGAATCCTGTTTGTACTACGAATAAATGAGCAAACGGCAGAAGACCATACACTGAGAGACACTTGCGAGGCGCTTCATGTCCAGAGGGTGCACGTCTGTTCTCCAGGCTGCTGTGCTGCACCAGTTCTGTGCCAACTCAATGAGTGTTACGGTAATTTTCGCATCAACCTTCGATGTGCAGTGAAATCCTGGTAGCAAAAGTAGACTTGTACGAGTACAGTTTGACGATGTAAACTCACGCAGGTTTTTTTTCGTCCCGTGCAGTTGTATTCTGTGGCAGCGCCAGCTATAGATTACGCCTGAAATACTGCGTCGTCTGCCACCACGCGCGGGCTGGTGGAATTGCACCACGCTCCAGTGTCGACCTCCGCGGCGTCGTGTACTCATATCGTGGCCGGCCCAGCTGAACATGCAGTACCGCACGTGCGGTGCCCACATAAACGTACGACATGGCAGAAGTGCACAGAAAACGCCACCGGTGCTGCCAGCTGAAAATGCCTAAGACACAGCAATAAACGAAGCTACAAGTGCATTCGAATGCCGCAAGCACAAAGACTAGGCAAATTGATGCACACTAATTACCATTCCCGTGGTGGCTGAATGATTACAGCACCAGAGTTCCCTCAAGTTGATTTTAGAAAACTCTACGGTTGACTGAACAAGGGGGCCACCATTGCTTGACAGCGATAGCGGCGAGATTGCCCTGCTCTTGCCACTGGCTTGCTTCATAGTTACACACAATCCAAAGTTGAGACTCACTCGCTCAGCTGTTCAAGCTGCAGCTAGGTGCCATCGTAGAATGACGCCTTTTCAGATGCCATTGCTTTTTGTTCTTTTTATGCCCAACGGTCCGATTTAGTGGTCTGAGTGGCAGCTCGTCCGTATTACCAACAGGATCAGCCAGCCACGACTAGTAGACGATAGGAATAGCATAGAATAAGGCATAATTCGTAGCTCCATGATACCACACCTGCATCTCAGGCTGTTAGAGCAACTGCGCAGTTCGTGGTATGCACCAGAGCCTCTATATTGTTCGTATGGAGTAGTCATTTTTTCAGCGTGCTTTTCACCATGGCGTCTCTAGGCACGCATGAGAATCGCATCATGACACTGCTGGGAAGAAAAGGAAGCAGCTGACACTTTTTAAATTTCAGAAATAAAGCTTGCAAGCTACGCTCAGACTGCAGTCGCATCTATCATAAGTGTCGTTTCACGCAACAGCTCTACCGTCCGTTTGCGTAGATAGTGACCACGTATGTCAACATTCATCCTTCCGATACGATATGTCTTCTACGGTGCGCCAATCACCACTCTGTATGTTGTGTTGCACTCTCGCTACAATTGCGGCCAAGCAATAGTGGCCATGAGTGGGGACGGTTAAGCTAAAGGGGAGACATGACGAGCACTCCTATTAACAGATGTCGTGCCTGCACTCCAATCCGGCAAACCAACTGCACAAACATGCTACTGCATGGCTTTCAAAACGTGCATGAAGACACAGAATCTTGGGAGGCCGGAAGCCCTGTGAACGAAAAGTGCAAACCGACACTCTATTGCCCATAACCGTCGCATCAGTATGTCGTAAATGTCGTGGGCCCGGCAACATTTATGTCCCTTACGTTACATGCTTTACATTAAATAAAACAATGTAAGGACAAGCTCATTACGTTGCTTGCTTTTATACTTACAATCCTTACCTAGGATCCGTACGTACAGCATGTAGTCTGAACATGGCTTTATTGTTCTATTGAGTGAATGACTAGCTCACCATTACACAGACTATTAGCCGAGGTGAGCTATACTTTTTTCGATTTCAATACAGCAAAATTTTCGATTAAACGAAATTTTTTCTCCACACTGTCAATTTTGTTGTAGCGGGATTCGACTGTGCCATCCGTCTTGTTCGTTTTTGTCTATATCATACAATAAACTACTAATAAGCAATTTCCAAGGTTTACTTGAAATGCAAATTACGAAAAACAAACATAAGTAACATTTTAGAATCAACTGATGATCAGTTTGCTTCAGTTGAAATAAAGCGAAACAAGATTTATTCTTTTCATGTTTGTTAGCCAACACCAAAAGAAGAGAAAGAAGGAAGTCACAAGGCTCAAATAAAAAGATAGGATAAAGCCATTTATGAAAATCAGTTTTCAGTCGTGCCAACAGATTCCCATGAAGATGGTGATAACTGTCTTGTCTGCACGAGCAGCCACTCCACCCAAGATTTTGGCCAAAGAGGAATGTCCCTTTATCTTTTGTTTCAGACTAATCACATAAGCGACAGCACCACACGCATTTTTTGGCGGCAGTTCTTTTGTCTGACAACCACGTACAGCTTAAATTGTGACCCCAATATTGTGCAAATAGTGCAAAATACTGTGGTATTAATTTCTTTCTGTGTTGTATTTTTTTTAGTATGGTTTGTTGAAATATTTGTTTATTACCCGAGACATTTCACAGTGTACAAATATATTACGTGTGCATGTGCACGTATATTGATTTTTTTTTTTAGCTTCAAGACACTGCTTCATCTTTACCACTGTGTATTCTGGCATAGTTTTGTGGTATTTTGCTATATTTATTTTGATGCATCACTCATAGTCTGTTTTTGTAAAATTTAATTACTGCTTAGAACTTTTAATGTTTGAATATTTGTTTATTGTTCTCTTCCCCATCTGCCTGGTCTTGAATGACTGCAGTACATTCTAAATTAAATAAATAAAATATTATAATAATGCAAAATATTGTACAAGTACTGTAACATAAGTACTAATCTAAACTGATTGTTGCAATAAATAAGTTTGTATTTTACATTCCCTTCAGACAACTTACCTGTCTGTGCATTCAGCAACACAAGCTACATGACGTACGACATTTGATGCATGACTACCCTCACACAACTGGAACCAGCGATGTCCTTGAATAAATAAATAAATAAATACAGCAATGCCAGAATTAATCCTCTTTTTTTTTGTACCATACCATAACATAGTGTTTGTAGAAACATAACTAAATTACCGTCTACGGTGCTTCACAGTTTCAGTAACGTCTAAACAGTTCTTTGTCTTAAAATGTTAGAAGTGCCACGTCAGCATTGCTTCCAATAACTGCAAATGTTCACATTCATGCAGGCTGACACACGTAACCTGGGCGCAGTGGAACACAATACTTCCATTCAAGATCACTCCTGTTCAGCTTACCACAGCAACGACGACGTCTTCCCTCCGTTCTGTAGGCAACTGCAAGAAACACAGAGAAAATATAAAGCAATTAATTATACTCTCAATGACTGAACACACTGTTAAAGGAGAAAGTTTTTTTGCGAGTTTTTTACAGTAATTTGTAGCTTTGCGTCTCATAATTCTGAAATTATATAGTAAATGCTCTAACACATCGTATAATTTATGCTAGCAGCACTAATTCAGAACGATTTGGCATCCCTTCAAAACGCCCACCTGAATACCATAAGAAACAGCACCCCACAGCGGGGTAGCACCAGAGACTACATGTGCTCGAGCGTCGATGACACTGAAAAGTGCCGTTTTCAAATAGGGGGACCCGCGCGCAATGAATAATGAAATGACGTGGGCGTTTTGAGCGTGTCCCCCTCAGAAAAAGGAAAAGCATTCCTGGAGTAAGCAGTCTGAACCACCTTGGGAGGAGCCTGACAACAGAGCGAGAGGTTTACTTATGAAGCAGCACACGGAGACAAGCACAAAAGGAATGAAAATGACACCACTGCACTTGCAACTATTTTATTTTGCAGAAAGAACCTGGTTACAATATGATACGATAGTGTACCATGTGCTACAATGAAGATTAGTAACAGCATAGTTTCCAAAAAGCACACTTCACAATCCCTTAAACTGATCAATGCTTGGCTAATGCAGTTTTCTTTTTGCGGTGTGGAACACCTCCATTTATTCTCAGGTCACCTGATCCCTGTGATGGAAAGTATTTCAGTCTAAGAGAACAGCGGGGAGCTTCCACAATCTAAGCAATGCTGTCTAATGTGAGAGTAAGTATTACTTGCTAATGCCCTCTTGTGCTCAGTATTAGCTAAGTACCGGCCAGTTTCTCCGATGCACATCTTTCCACATAACATGGGCACACAATATACCACCGCAATTCTACACTCAACAAACGTAAAAAACATGCCTAACAGAGCACCAAGATCTATCCTCTTTTGCTGATCGCTTTCGATTACGCCTGGCACAGACTTTTCCCGAGTTTGTTTGGTGTGGAACAAACAACATGTAGGCCATATCTGCTGACCACATTCTTTATATTATGTGATATTTTGTGTACATTTCTTCAATATCCCTATCTTTTTTAGGCTGCTTCATAGATAAACCCTTGCACACATATGAAACCAACTTCTGTGCTGATCTGCACAGAACATGCTCTTCCCCAGGTAGCACAAAAGATATATAATCCGTCTTATTAGGTGTATATCGTGTAAACTGACTGAATGCCAGGTTAAAGAAGTCAACTTCAGGAAGGATATAATCAAGACGAAAAACCCTGCTATGAGATGGACTTTAAGGACGCTTACAATCATCGTCTTATTTATAGCTTATGTTTTTATGAATATATCTTCTTAGCCATCAGCAATACAGAAATTACAAGTAGACTTCAGTAAGATTATAACTATAACTTCAAACACCGCTATAATAGAAATTTTTAAGACCCATTTTTTCCGCCAAGCAGCAGATCAACGTCACTTGGTCAATGCATGCACAGACTTGCACGGACATGTATGAACCACTTTGAACTGCATTTGAAGTCAAGCCTGCGCATGCCATCGCTCACTGCAATAGAAAAAGTGACGTGCGAAATGATATGACGTGAGGTGTTCACATTGCTTCAGCAACCTTGAGAGCTTCCAAAATTTTACGTTATTTACTGGCATAGATAACCGTTTACCTTAATTCCTCCCAACTCTTTATCGTTGATCTTGTATCCATCCGGGCTTCTCCTCTGGCTTCTGCAATGTCATTGTCAGTTAAGCTCGTTGATTCAGCATGTGCAGTCGCGTCCGTCAGTTATATTCTGTTTTGCGTTGCTTTATGAGGACTACAGACGCAGCTGCGAAAAAGACTTCACTCCATGTGCAACTTATGGACCTGATCGAATGCAAGTACGTTTCTGTGGGGTGACTGTTACGCCAACGTTAGGTTAGGCCTAGTGCCGTTAGATTACCAACCGAAAGATGCATGGGTCGCCTTGCAAGTGGATGTGCTCTCAAAACTTCGTTACTTCTATACTGGAGAGTTATAGACGATACTGTGATGTGTGATTACTTTTCTTTGGGTTTATGGATTCGGTATGAATGACCGGCTACTGTCATATCTGAAGGTAAGCAATTTTCGTAGCATTGTACTCCTTGTTCGAGTCGCTAAAAATGATGAAATACTAACCAAATAAATGTGTAGCGTTGTATGACTAATTGCTTGCATGACGTGTTTCAGTAGTGTATAAGTGCTTCATTTATGCTGAACAAATTATTTGGCGGGTGAAACACTATTGTAAGTCACAGTTTTTATTCATGTTTGAACGCACAAGAACGAAACTATTTTTATTATAGTTGAACTGTGTTGGCTAAACTGAACGCATATAATCTTCATTGGCCTCTTAATAGAGCTACTTTATATATGCGAATCAGTTTTAGATGTTTGTACCTTGTAAGAAAGTTTAAGATACACAAATATCTCACACACTTTTCGTGTCCCTGCAACAGACTTGCGCATAAGATAACCTTGCTAACGATGTTCCTCGCACAGTTATATGCAAATGACAAGGGCCTGGATGCGGTTTATATAGCAAAAATTTCAGGGCTTTATAATCAAAGGCACTTTTTCATAAATAATCAGACAATTTTTCATAGGAGGAGTTTGGTGTTTTTTCTCAGTGTTGTGATGACAATTCACCTTAACCGCCTCGACGCGCTAGTTGAATCTTGTGGTATATATTTTTCCTTATCTGTTGACCTCCTCCTTTCTCTTTAAACCCGGCATTTCATGCAGCATCGAAATATTTTCGAACACATTGCTCACCCCGGGTTAACTACCAGTTGCTCACTTTCTGTTGCCGTACAGTGTAATGTAGTTTTGCCTGTTCATGCGGTCTTCTTTAAGACAATGAAGGATATAAGAAAATTCTCCTTTCTTCTATGTTTTGCAGTTTATAGTTATCCTACATGTTTATAAACAAGAGCTATAGCAACCAAATTACGGCATCTTTATTGTGGAGGTTACTTGCTGTTTTTTGTATGAATAAAGATAGATGCCAACACATTCTAGTCTCTCTTATTTTTCTTGGGAACCATTAAGCAATCAAAAGGTCAATCAAAAGGTCGTCCTTTTCTTGCAGTGATAAGTGGTCCTACATCACTTGCGTATTTTTCATGGCCATTCTTTTCATTTAGCTGGTGATGTAATAAAGTCTTTGTCACTGTGTTTCTGCCTCTCACATCATTTATTTCTTGCAAATACAAATCATTTAAATGCGAAGGACCTGCCGGCAGTCACTCGTTCTCCTACGCTGAATATGTACCAAGAAAAGAACGCATATTCGGGTGAGGAAAACGACAAAACTACAGAAGCATGGGAAGGGAGACAAAGATGGGGAGGTACATAAAAAAGAAAAGAAAAACGGACATCACAATCCGGGTTGTAGATGGCTTCTATCTCTACTTTTCAAGGCTTACTGTGGTCGTCGAATACCTCCCAAGAAGAACAAATTTTTGTGACTTGCTAAAAGAAGAATTGTGGAACCTCTTCGTATTGTCTTCAGGACGGACATTAGCAGAGATATACGACCGCTCCAGTTGGATAAACGGATTTTAAGCACCCAAAAACGAATCTTAGAAGACGTTCATTTCGGATTGGCCAATCAACTTCGAAGCAGTTATATATCACTTTTGTGCTAATCCACTTCAAAGCAGTTATAAATCACTTTTGTGCTAGCGGGATCGTAACCCACATTAATCTAATAACTTGTCTCTATTGAAACTGTTATTAATTTTGTCGGGACAGGATTTTGCCAAGGCAGCACGGAGACATGAGTAGGCTATGCTGTTTTGAACGGTCCTTGAATGCCCGGAAGAGTAGTTAAGCAAGGGCGTCTCTGATTGCGTGCTGTATAACCAGAAAGCATGGTTATAACTACGAAGCAAGGTACTCATGCCTCCATGCTGCCTTGGCAAAATCCTGTCCCGACAAAATTAACAATAGTCTGTCCATTATCACCATTGACAGCAGCGCACATCCTGTTAGACAGCTCGGTGCATACATAAGGGCTTGTCTCTGGTGATAAGTGGATGGCGTGCACTATACCTGTGCAAAGGCTTGCCACTGTTGGGCTTTCATTTGACGCCAACAGCACATTGATTGTGCTGAGAAATAGCAGAAGCTGTGGTGTGTGAAACAGACAACGTTCACAGTGTTATTCAATGGCCATATTGGAGAAGGCCTGTGCTTACCAGGGTTGATTCGGATTAACTTCATCAACACCGGACAAACCAGACTTGCTCTGCTGGCGAGGCCCAAATTCACATGTAAATAGCACAAAGAATCACATGCTGAGTACTATCTTCATACCAAATCTCTACACAACGGACCACCAACTCAGGAGAACTTCAGTTGCCATAGGAATGTGCGATACAGAAGTTGGGCACTGCTGCACTCACGAACATTCTGTGCCACACATGCGCTGCAGTTTCCCTTTCTGCTGTGACATTCAGGCAGATTAGAAGTCAAGTGCTTTTGTCTAAGGCTTTGGTCACCGCTCTGATTCAACCATTGGAGACACTGTGGCTGAGGTCTGGCTTTATGTTACTGAGATCAAGCTTCTCAGCACTCTACATGATTATCAGCCAAACCTGGAAGAGTCTTTTGATGAGCAGCTGTGTGTCATCTCTTGCGAGCTCCTTGAGGTACTCTTCTCGAGACTCCGACCTGCAGAAATTAATAAGAAAAAATGGGAGCACAAGGTTTGAGATGACACTCGAAGAAGACAGTTTCGCACTACACTTTTGTATTGACATTAGAGCAGACATTACTGGTTATTATGGCTGTAACCAACACTATACCCCTATCACTGCATTAAGCTGCTTAAAAACCAGACTTACAAGTGGCTCAGTGCAATGTTGTTTTGGCCCTCACTAGTGACACCTGTAGACTTTTGGGGAGTAAGAAAAATAAACATATGTTTGAAAGGCACTTGCACTGAAGAGGCACGTTTTTGCAAAAACTTGCTTCTCTAGAGGAATGAGCCTTGTGTTCTTGAAAAGCCTAGCAGCAGTCTCGAAAAAGTGTGGCAGCTTTTAATTGTTTATTTACTTATTATTAAAAAAAACATGACCTGCAGTGCCATGCAGGCACTATACCAAGGAGGGCATGAAGGTAAGACCCACACTGAAGAAAAACAAAACAAGATAATTGCTTTTTGCTTCAAAGCCACTAGCACAATGCTATGACACCAGTGCAGGAATAAATACGATCCCAAGTCCCTAATAAGTAACTCACTATAGCAGCCTTGATCGAAACATTCCCCAACAAATTTTTAAAATGGACCTGACACAAACATAAATATTAATTGAAGTTAGGAGTTTGACAAATGATCACCTGGTTGGGGATCTTCATAGTGAAAGAAAGACCAATGGTAGCAAACGGCAAGAAAAACAAGACGGACACAGAGGTAGAAAAGTCTCCCTGCCGGTTAATGCCGAGAGTTGACTGGCAGATAATTTTCACAGCGACTGTTTTCATTAAAGCAGCGGAAAGCTTATGCATCAGTGCGTCCGGTCGAGGAATGGGGACGCGAAAAAACCATCAATCACAGAAAAAAAAATTTTGTATCTGTGGCTACTATGAAGCCATAAACGCACCGTTTGGGACCTATAGGGGGTGCTTTGAAAGCAGCGCACAGTGCCACTTGTGGTGCAGTGGGTGCGCAATCTTCAGAATCATATAGGAGACAACATCTCCTCATTGCTTGGACAGCTATGGTGGCAAAAGCGCCCGTGGCAGGCACGTTGATTCTTCGAGCAGGATTTTAAGATGACGTAGGGAGACATTTTTCCACAATGCCACTAAGAATAAATGGAAAAACCTGCACGAAAGCCGCCACATTTCCCATGTTAGTGAGTGCAAATGTGTGCTTCAGGTGTGTGCAATGCAAGATGTTTTCTTCATAACTATTGCAATTAGCTGTCGTTTTCTCACACTTGAAACATTATTGGGGCAAGCCCCCTACCCGCGTACTTGCAAAATACTCGGAGCATTTAGAAATATCAATGGCTCCACGACCATTTGCCGTGGGAATCACAGTGAGTGGCTGGTGGTGTGCTCGTTTGTTACAGCTTTGTCCCACGGTGATTTTCAGCCACCGAGTCTCGCGAATCGTTTTGCTTGAAACCGTCCCAGCATCATCCTCGCTCATCATGATCAGGGTCTTTACCTTACCGCTGCCGCGGGTATACTAAGAACTTGAGGGGCGGGCAAGAAAAAGAGCATGGTACGATTTCGGCCACAAAGGACACGGCAGCCCCATTCTGTCTTTCGCTTCACCTTGTACAGTGGCGATCACTTCGGCTACTGTGACGTCCCCCTCCTTCACTACAACCTCTTGCGTTGTTTATGTTGTGTTCCGAAACGCACATCCACCACTACAGCATTTGCAAAGCTTCGTTTCTCACCTTGTAGTTCTGCTACTTTTTGCCCTGCATAATTTCTTCCTAACATGCAGATTGCTTACCAATCACAAGACAAAGACATCTGGATGAACCACTCCGAAGGGTGGGATTAAATTTATCACTTCCGGCGGTGCTTTCCTCTGGCGCTACAGCACTTCATTTTAGCCAATGGAGCATTTGCGATTACAAATGTGCTTTACTACGAGACGAAACAAATTGAATGCTAAGGTTATCTAAATCTAGCTTATTCTTCAACATTACTGTTTTTTGTGAATTAAGCTAATTACTTGCTTCAAAAACGATTTATTGCAAATTATTTTGAAATTATCAACAAATTCCTTTACATATAACAAGGCACCACCAACTTTATGGCCGATTCCCCGTGGTGAGTTGCACCAATTTAATAAGAGTCAACAAACCCATCAAAGTTTTAGCTTGATCCTACAGTGTTCGCGTAGTGCTGCTGGGCGACTAGTTGTGTTTACGGTAATATGCTACGTAACTCAGTTGGTCCCTTAATTGATGACCCTATCAACCCAATAAAGCACTAATTGACCTCACATTGCATTCCCCAATACTGCAAAGGGTAGACGACTATTTAATCATTATTAAGGTCCATTAGAGCGTTTCATCAGTTTCGAGCTGAATTAAAATATCTTGCACAACTTTCTTTTCTCACCAGCTCTATGACAGCAGGAAGATCACGAAATATCATTGCACCTGCAGAGGTGGTGTCTGAGACGAACTCAAGCATTCAGTGACAGAACGAGAGACGGCAGAGGGAGCGGGAACCAAACACTTTTTACGTCTCAAACCTGTCGTCCACTTAACTCGATGCCCAATAAAGCGAAGACGAGTCGAGAAGCTGTAAAATGTTGTTCCCACAGTACACGACATGTACCTTTGGTGCGATAAATTATGCAGCAGTTCATGATTCAGATAAACTACATGCCATTGGGAGACCGTTTGGTTTAGCTCGGGCTCTCAACAGCTGTCTGCTCTGACGACTGCGGGGCGACATACCAGTCGCCGTGCACGGAGTGTAAACACAAAACACGTGCTGCGAACAGTGTGATTGTTGGGCAAGTTGGTAACTCATCTTAGCCCACTGGTGCACAAAAAAACATAACACAATGCAAGGAACATGAAAGACAGTACAGGTTTGTGTTGTGACATATTTGGTGTTACTTTCTGAGTATTATCATTTTTTTGTGCACCACTGTGCTAAGAACAGTGAGAGCAGTTTGTGCGTGGCTGCTTGCTGTGCGTGTGCCAAGGCTGAACATATTTTATCTGTAGCTGATTCACAGGGTCCAACTCCTTTTACCTCGTAAGCAGCACAGAATAGAGTGGTGACACATAAGTATAGAATTTAATTCATTGCACTAATTATGATGTACATAAAAGTACTGCACTGCTAACAGCAAAGTGAACAACTCAGACAGGCTCTTCAAACAGGGTTTGCAACATCCCTGTTTCTGGTTACTTTTACGTACAATTTCAAAACTTAAATCCTACTCGAACCGCTAAAGGTATGCTTGAATGTGCCCCTATAATTCATGGCCTTTTCATTTGTACCAGGATCTAAGTACACCCACTTGTGATCTCATTGAAAATAAGTCACGAAGTATTAAGAGAGAAAAAAAAAAGTGCTCAAGGTCATGAGGTACGCATTTTCTTCCTTAGTGCCGTTCCTCTCTGTTTAGCTTACTGCGCTTCCGTTGGGATGAGAGAAAGCCATGCAAATCTTTGTAACTCCACTCGTACTGGATGGATTCTAAAAAATTTCGTGGTAGTTAAAGGAGCCCTGCAACACTTTTCTAAGTAGCCATGGAATGGATTCACTAAAGGAGCCTGTTTCCTCCCAAATTTACGACAAAAACTTTTCATTCATAATTCCATTCATTTTCAAAGGGTCTTCATTCCTTTTTTTTTTTCTATGTGGCTATGATCAAAAGTTAGTGTTGTATTTAGAACACACAAGAATGATGCATCTGAAGCCCGAACATCGTGTTTATTTGGTGCCCCCAGGCGCTCATCCTCATCTTCTTTCCTATATACAACATTTCTCCGGTTGATAAAAAAAAACTATACCTCACATAACACATAGTCCCAGAGCTTCAATTGAATTTTTTTCACTTGTCGGTTCTTTCCTTATGGCTGGCCGGACATTTTGTTCTACAGTGATGATAGTTCTTACCTTGATTCATCGTTGATTTGGGCTAATGTCCTTTGCTGTGGCGTAGGTGGGCAGTCGTCATGTTCACTCGCAGGTGCACTACTTTGAAAAGGCTTGTTCAATGAGAACACATTTCAAGCTAAAATTCCAGGCCTACTGCTTGTCAGCTTCCGCGCGGCTTCTGGATGTATTGCTTGAAATTTGGAAGAGTTCCATATGCGACCGTATTCCAAAAGAAATGAAGCTGGCCGTCGTTGCTCAATGATTTTCTTCGGCTCCGAAAAGTGCGAGGATATTTTCCTGTGACCAAACGACTTTCTCACATGGTTGTAGATGCCAATGGCAGGATTTCTGGTCTGGGCTCTACGATGGCAGTTTGTGTAATGTTTAGATGAAGCTTGTTTCTGTCTGACACGCTGATGCAGCCGTTTCATTGACTCAGCTGGATTTTCGTGAAATGAAGAATCTGGTAATCCAACAATGCTTAAACGAGTTCGTGGTAGTCGTTAGTGCAGGACAACGGCAGGTGCAACTTTCATTGTGGCATGAGATGTGCAGCGGTAGACACTCAAATAGTCCGTCACGCAGACATGGATATCATGCCGCTTGTATACTTCCGCCTGGACTATAAGCTTGAGAACTCTGTTGAACCTTTCTACAAGCCTGTTTGCTTGTGGGTGATAAACAAAATAAAATCAATGGCATATGCCATGTTCCCGAATGAATTCCTCAAATTCAGCTGAGGTGAATTGTGGTCTGTGATAAGAAATTAATCCATTCAGGTAGCCATAGTAAATACTTGTATCAGGAAGTTCGTGACCATCGATGTAGAAACTTGTTTCAAAAAACAAAAAAAGCTTCTGGCCATTTGTTGTGGTAATGAATAAACATCACCGAGTAACGGCAATTGATCGGAGCTCGTTCAAATGGGCTAATACTATCAATAGCCATTTTCTCCCAAGACTTGACAGATATTTACTGGCTGCATAGGGGCTGTAATAGGCCGTGCAGATTTGTCACATGACTCGCAAACAAGACATGTTTTAACCAGTTCTTCTAGATGGGTCATCCATCCAAGGCCA